GTGGTGGTGCAAATGGAGAGAAATGGAGGACTTCGAGAGCCTTGAGGCAAACTGCCAGGATGGGATAAGGGGAGTGAGAGGGAGAAGCATCAGGATGACTCCTAGGTTTCTGGATGTGAATGGAGGTGGTGCCATCACCTGAGACAGAGAGTGCTGGAGGAAGTTCATCAGGCTGGGGCCTGAAGACAGGGTCAGTTTGGGGCAGGTTGAGTTTGAGGTGCCCTGTGTGTGACAATCAAAAGAGGGTGTCAAGTAGACAACAGAAAATAAGAATAGGTCTGGCTGGAAATAAGCATTTGCAAGCCAACTGTTTGTTGGTGGTAATTTAAGCCTGGGTGTGAATGAGACTGACTGTGTGAGGGAGAGTTTAGGGCGGGAAGAGGAGATGGTCTAGGATGAGGCCTTAGGCAACCCAATATTCAAGGCCAAGTAGAGGAGGTTGATTGCAAAGGAGACACAAGAAACCAAAAATGTTAAAAACAGCTATGAAATGCTATGCGAGCATTTTACTTTTACAGTTATTTTATAATTGGGTAGAATTTTTTTAAGATCCATCCATTTATTCGGGGGTGGGGAGGGACAGAGAAAGAGGGAGAGAGAGAGAATTTCCAGGCAGACTCCCTGCTGAGTGCAGAGCCCAACACAGGGCTCTATCCCACAACCCCGAGGACACAACATGAGCCAAAATCAAGAGTCCAACGTTTAACTGACTGAGCCACCCAGGTGCCCCTATGGGTGAAAATTGTTAGTTAAGGGAAAAAAAATTTTTTTATGGCTCCTTGACTTTAAATAACTTTCTAGATTTTGAAAAATAGTATCTGAGGGCAAGAGGTAATACTCAAAATATTTAACTAGCAGGACTTCAGAGTACCAACACTTTCCACGTGAAGTGGAAAGAGGCTGGGTGGTAGGAGGCCACATGGAAAGGAATCTTGGAACAGTAGCTATTTCATGATTACTACTGATTATCAGCCCTGTCTGAGGACCCTCAACAACTGTATCTCACCAGCTCCTCCCCACCCATTCTCGGCCCATTCATTGCCAGCACCCCAACTCTTTTCTCTAGCACAGCAGTTGATTCATCCTTTCTTCCTTTTTTTCAAAAGGAACCTTTATGCCCGATGGGGGGCTTGAACTCACGACTCAGAGATCAAGAGTCACATGCCCTAATGATTGAGCCAGCCAGACACCCCTAGTCATCATTTCTTGAGAATGCCTTGCCTTTTCATGTCTTCATGATCTTCCCTATGCCAAGAATGCCTTTCTCGTCCTTGTTTGGCAAATTTCTTTGCATCTTTATAGGCCCAGGTGAAATATCACCTCCTCTATAAAGTCTTCCCTGACTTCCCAAGGCAGAATTAATGGCTTCCTCATCATTGTTCCCTGCACTTTATACATACTTTTATTATAGCACTTATCACATTGAATTGTGGTCTCCTGGCTGGGCCGGAGAAGGAGAGACTCTCCTTCGCAAAGTTGTGAGCTCCTTGAGGACTAGGGCTATGTCCCATTCATTCTGGTACTCCAGCATCTAAAACAATGGTGTCCCTTTTTTTTTTCTTTTTTATCTGTTGAATGACTCTCATTGGGACTGCAAGGTCAGAAGATTATCTTTTCTCCCAATTTGCTATTTAAAACTCAGCAACAGCGTGCCTGGGTGGCTCAGATGGTTGGGCGTCTGCCTTCGGCTCGAGTTGTGATCTCGGTGTCCTAAGTTGGAGTCCCACGTCCCGCTCTCTGCTCAGCGGGGAATCTGCCTCTCCTTCTGTGCTCACATGCTCTTTCTCAAATAAATAAATCAATAAAGTATGGTTTAAAAAAATAATAAAACAGCTGATACATGCTACAACATCAATGAAACTGGGAAACATTATGACAAGCAAAAGAAGTCAGTCCCAAGACCACATAGTATATGATTGCAGTTGTATGAGATGTCCAGGGTAGGCAAAGCCACACAGACAGAAGGTAGATCAGGAGACTGAAGGGATGGGGAGAAAAAGGGAGCGACAGCTAACGAGTATGGGGTTTCTTTTTGAGGTGATAAAAATGTTCTAGAATTGGTTGTGTTGATGGTTGCCTTAAAGTGTTCACTTTAAGGGAGTGAATTGTATGGTACATGAATTATCTCTCAATAGTACTATTATTTAAAAAACACCTCAGCAACTTCTGCCACTGTGTCTGATTTAAAGGGAAGGTTCAAATGTTTGCTGCTGGGGAGGAAGATGGACACACTGGGAGTGAGTGTGGAGGGTAGGTGAGGCGCGTGTGGTTGTTGTGGGGGGTTGGCATAAGTGGAAATCAAGTTGAGTCCTTGTGATAGAATGGGCCACAGAATATTTCAGAAGGAGGGGTTCTGGTGAAAACGGAAACCACTTCAATGAAATCAGGTTTCAGCAGAAAAGGATGAGGTTAGCTTGAGAAGAGTGAAATTTTACTTAAAAAATGGTGACTGAGTATGGTCTCCTCACTCGGCCGGGAATCTTTAAAGAGGAAAGGGTTATAATATATAATATAGTATAATATAATATATCATATAGTATATCATATAATACATAATATAAAATATCATACAGGCAGGGATGGAAATTCTGATACACTTAGCCTAGAAACCCAGCATCTCTGAAGTAAGGAGGGTGAAGGGGGGCTTTTCCCAGGAGAAGTTGGGCCCTGCTGGGAGGTCATATGTCACCGTGCTGGGCCTGTGTACTCTGAAGCCAGCTGAACCCTGGCCCTGCCACTTACTGGATGTGATGCTTTGGGCAAATCACTCAATCTCCCTCTGTGCTTCCATTTTCTCTACTGTAAAATGGGGTAATGATCGCACATTCCTCACAGGACGGTTGTGAGGATTAAATCAGATCACATATGAAGAACTTAACATGGTGTCCAATACAGGGGTTCCTGGCTGACTCAGTAGAGCATATGACTCTTGATCTTGGGGACATAAGTTCAAGCCCCATGTTGGACATAGAACTTACCTAGAAAACAAAACAAAACGAAACAAAAACAAAACACAATGCCCTGTACATAGTGAGGACTAGAAGAAGGCAGACCCCAAAGTGAGTGACAGGTTAGTATGTAGAGCCACGACTGTTGCAGGAGTGGCTGTTCCCTGGATAACCTTGAGAGAGATTAGAGAAGAGGTAGCAGCTGGTGCTGGTGGAGCTGGGGAGGTGGGGGTGTCAGGTCCGGGTGGTGGCTGGGAAATGGTCTGAAAAGAGTTTTCAGTATCATTGCTCAGTCTGGCCGGTGGGGCTCATACTTCCTGTTTTCAGTGTGTGTGAGCCCTGATGCTGGCACGGTTCATGGTAGAACAAGATCTTTCTTGGCCACTGGGAGGGTAACACAGAGGCTGAGAAGCAACTCAGCCTGGGCTGGGCCCCTTAGCTTCACACCATGGCTTTTCTTTCCTGGCAAGTTTCAGCTGGCACAGAACCCACTAATGCAATCCTGCGGTGGAAGAGTGGAGGGGGCTTCCACTCGATTCTGTAAGAATTTACATAGTTTGGTAATAACAGCCATCATGTTTGTGCCTTTACTGGGTGCCAGGAGTTGTGAACTCATGCATCCCTATAACATTGCTGGGAGGTAGATATTATTATCTCTTTTTTAGAGATGGGGAAACCGGGGCACAGAGAGGTTATGAATCTTTCCCAAGTCACACAGCCAGTGCCAGAGCCAGGATTCTAGTCCAGACCACCTGACTCTATAATCCATGCTCTGAACCACTGTATCACAATAAAGAAGACAACATGCTTGATTATAGGGACTAAAAGCAGAATACTCTGGGTCCCTGCCCCTCAGGGGCCCATGGTTTAGGGAGCCTCTGAACCAGAAGCCGAGGAGAACTTGCACCCCAAACTCCACTCAGAAAACTGACTATTCATGCACAGAACGTATACTGACCATATCTTGAATTTACTTGGCCCTTCACATAATCTGGCCAGTTGTCCCCAAAGGATCTCAATCAGGAGTGCTTAACAGAAACACCTGAGGAACTTTTCTAAATTCACAAGCCCTGGCACCAGCCCTGACCTGAATCACAATCTCTGTGGAACATCAGCATGTATATATTTTTAAAAAGGTTCTCAGGTGACTTGATTAAGAAACACTGCCAAAACCCATTAACATAGCTTGGAAATTCCAACACTTTAGCATCCAGCTGTACCTCCCCATCTGCCTTCTTTTTTTTTTTTTCTTTTAAAGATTTTATTTATTTACTTGACATAGAGCAAGAGAGCACAAGCAGGGGGAGCAACAGTGGGAGAGAGAGAGAAGCAGACTCCCCGCTGAGCCGGGAGCCTGATGCAGGGCTCGATCCCAGGACCCCAAGATCATGACCAGAGCTGAAGGCAGACACTCAACCGACTGAGCCACCCAGGTGCCCCACCCCACCTGCCTTCTACACCCTAGTTCTTTAGAAACCGATGTTTGGTTCAAAATGTGTGGTCACCTCCATTAGGATACCACCTAGCTTTAGATTCCAAGTACCCTAATATTAGGGATTGCAGTGACTGGTCATGAGCTTCATTAACACACTGAGAAAACTTAGCACCAGCCCCTCACACAGATGATGGGAAATTGTTTTCTGTTCCCTGAATGCCACACTCAAGCTGGGCCAGGTTTTGGATCAGCAATTTTCATGCAGGTATTCTCCTTGGTTGAGGTCAGCCCCGGGACTGGTATGGGCAGAGTGAAGTTAATATGGTGGGACTTATCCTAGAGGATCACTGGGTACAGCTGTACGAGATGTGCACTGTACAAAGGCATCCGGCTAAGGAGGGAATTGACGGTTGATACGCAGCCTGAACACCAGGCTGTACCTGATGTACTATGGAGGACCTGCTCTACAACTCTTCTAGCCTCTGCTTCCCAAAGCCCCATTAAGTCCGGAGATTCGACCCTTAAGAAACTCTGGAGTACATGCCACCATCATTTTCCACTTTTTATGCTCCCCAACTCCCTCCCATACAAGGACCAAGAAAGAACCAAAGTCTTCAGAAAAATCATATTTTATTGATCTTTATTCAAAATTACAAAAATAGACATAAATAAAAATAGCAGAACATAATTATTAAATATTCAGTGTATAGGAGTGGTCCTCACCTCACCCAGTGAGGATTGGATAAACTCAGATGAAAAGTCAGAAGGGATAACTGGCCAAGAAAGAACATCTGTGTAAAAGTAAAACTGAAAATTAAGTGCTGGTCACAGGCCATGCCCCAGAATGATACATTCATAGGCATGATCACATGAGAGACCCAAGAGGCCCTAGGAGTGACCCAGGACCTTTCCAGACAGACCCTTCGATGTGGCATCACAGTCCATTCAGTGTAGGGAAATATCTAGACTTGCAGTCAAACACAGGAACACCAGCTGTTTCTCACACTGACACAGCCTGTGCACAAGTGTGCAAACATATACACACATATATAATATTTCCTGATACATTCATGGAATGTCAGAGCCCTTCCCTCAAGTCATTAATGTCTCCACTCCGCCAGCCACTGGTCCACAGTGGCCAAGCTCCCTCAAGAGACCTCGGTTCTGTTCTACTTCCTAATTGAGAAATTATTCACTTCCCAACGGTGGGCCTCATGAATGCCCACTGTTGGGGTGCTGGCTCTCCTTCTACCCATGCACAGGAAATGGCGTTTTTCACTCCAGGAGGCTTTAGTTCAGAAAAAGACAAACAACTGGTCAATAACCATCCTGGGTCAGGGCCTTCCCTCCATCCTGGCCCTGGGGGATCTGGGTACTCAGCACCCAGGCCTGTATCTGAGGATCAAGCTATCATTGCTCACCCTGGTGGGCAGCACAAGCAAAACCATCTCTGCAAGAGCCCATCTTCCTCAGGTTCTTCCTTAGATAGAGCTGATGCAGATGGTTCTACTGCAAAAATGACACTCAGCTTGGGAGTGGGTGGTACCCCTCTCTTCCCTTGGCTCCCTGGGGAGCCTCAGAGGGTTAGACCATTCTGTTGCCCAGTGTGCCTATGGATCCAAGTCAGGAAGCGTGAGACCCTTGTGTAGACGCCTGGTTTGTCCTTCATGGCACATCCACTGCCCCAGCTCACAATCCCAGTCAGAGTCAGGCGGCCTTGGATAGAGCAGACCAGGGGTCCCCCGGAGTCTCCCTGTTAAGCCAAAGACACGGAAAGGTGAGCCCTAGGAAAAGGGAGAAAGGGGCCATCTGATGCAATCACCCAATCATGCCCAAGAGGCAGACAAGAGAGAGTTTCTTAGAATTAAAGTCCTTCGTGACTCCCCATTTCCTACCGTATCAAGTTTAAAACCCTCTGGGGGGCTTTCGAAGCCCTGCTACCTGCCACAACTCCATCTACATTCTCAGACCCTTTCCCTTGCCATCCTGGAGTACGCCACGCTCATTCTCATTTTTGTATCTTTCAACTGGAACGGTCTCCTTTCTTCCCTCGGCCTCCTCAAATTCCTACAGTCACATTCTCTTTGGGGCCACCTAATTGGTACTCACGTCCCACTCCCAAACATCTGATCGTTTACAGCTCATACCACACCCTGAGCACTGACTTGTATCATTTTCTATTGTTTTCCTCTTTCTCATGGTCTTATTCCCTTCCCTTCTCTAGTCTGAAGTGCCCAGCACAGAGCCAGGCTCACGACGGATGTTTGGTAAACACAGAAGGATTAGTTTAAACTAAGACCTGAGCTCCTAATTCTGACTTCTGGGGGCTTTGGCTGGAGAGAGGCTCCCCAAAGCTGGCGGGGACAGGCCCAGGAGCCCAGGGGAGATTTGGGGGTGACAGGAAGAGAGGCTGGAACTCTCACCTGGCAGGAATCTGTTTCCCACTGTGGGTCAGCAGCACACAGCATTTTGGTGGTGACTTCAGAACCATAGTAGTGGGGCTGCTGACACTCCTGGTGGGAAACCAACTTCACAACGGTCATTTTCAGCTGCTCTGGATAGAAATAGTCGGCTGGATGGAGGAAACAAGAAGTTTACATTAAGATGTGTCTGTCCAGCCTTCCCACAGGGACTCTCTGCCAGGGAGGGGACCAAAAAGTGTCCCTACCAGGGAAAGCCTTTATTCTTTCCCACCCAAATCTGAGCCTTTACCCCATGTATAGCCCCTCCCCCCATCTATTTACCTTTATGGCCCATCACTCCCTCAACAGTGCTCCCCACTCCATCCCCGTCTCCTCTCATCCCTCCTTCTGCTACCTCCACAATGATCCCATTTCTATCGCCACAGTCCTCTTTAGATCAAGTTGAGCTTACTTCCAGGTTACAGTACTCCCCCAGGACCCTCTCAGCCAGCCCCAAATGTCACTTACTGGTATTCTCTTTTCCAAAGCCAGCGATCTCACAGCTTGCACCAAAATGAGCATCACCAGACCATGGAGGCAGGCAGATGGTTTGTATGGACCTGGATGGCTGTGCACACTGGCCTGTGTTGGAGCGGATCTTCAGCAAGGCTGGGGGAAGAGGGAAGCAGGAGAGGTCAGGGGGAAAGATCTCTACCTGGCCCGGTGGTCACCATCTCTCCCCTCCAAATGCTGAAGGATTGGATGTCTATCCCTAAATTGCTTAGGGTCAGAGGTCGTCCTGGAAGGTCTGCTGGTAGCTTATTACCTGAAACAAGCCTCCCCTGCCCCATGCCTCAAGGGCTTTGTTCCAGCCGCTGACATAGGTCTTGGCCAGCCAGGGCTGCTGTATACAGATGTAGGGGTGGCTGAGGTAGATGGGCTAAATTCAGCCCAATGCTCTAAGTTCCAGATCCTGGGACAGGCAGAGGTTGTATCCAACAAAAGAAGGGGCCTCCCAGCCCATGCCATATGCTCACGGGGCCATTGCCATCTAGAGGAGGCTGTATGGAAATTCAAGGATTCTGCAGAAGAGCCGGAGGCCCTTTGCTACATAAAGCAGCATCTTCAGCTCCCCTACAACCTCAACCTCCCATCTGGGTCTCTTTTTGGACCCCTCTTCCTCCAACTATCATCATTACGGCAGATAAGGCTTTTCCACTCACCAATATCATTGTGGTGAGCAAGGCTGTCAGCATTATAGTCCTCATGCAAGATGAGCTTTTCCACCTCAAACATCATCTCCCCACGTGTCTTGGAGTTTAGCTTTGACCGACCCAGGTAGACAATGTAGTCCTCCTTCTTCTGGTAATGACTGTGGGAGGGGAGACTTGTCAGACAGTCTGAGCTCATGAGATCTTGTCACTCCCCCTCCACGGTGGCCTCAAGGCATGACTTGCCCCCAGGGCCGTGGACTGCATGGAAGGGACCTCAGGGGGTAGAATTTCAGTGGCATCCTTTGCTGGGAAGGGGAAGGAGATGTGTTCGGGGTAAGGCAGGAGGGTCAGGGAGAGGAGACATACATGAAGCAGTGTGTGGCGCTGACCACCCAGCAAGGACTGATGAGGCTGCCACCGCACAGGTAGGTGACAGAGCCTCCACGGTGCCTCCTATAGATGGCCGCAAACCAAGGCTGGTTCTCGATGGTGGTGAATTCTCCGCCAACAATCTTAAAGCGAGGCCTCAGAGTCTTCTGGCCACACTGAAACTCTTTTTCCGAAGGAGACGGGGGATTTTTCTCTGGAGAAGAAAGAGAGGGATGTCTTGGGGAGGCAAGTAAGACAGTGACCCACACTTGTCCTCTATCCTCCCAGTTCTTCAAGGCCAGGCAGGCCCCCCTCCTCCACCCTCCTAGGATGGAATAAAGGAACACACGAGCTTGTCCCCTTCCACCCTACTGTCATAAACAGGTCAATGACACTCACCAAAAGAGCATTCTTGCACCATGCACTCCCGGACGAGCCGCTGTAGGCCAACCTGCACATAGCACCACGGCCTTCTCTGGTTGTCCGGGTTCCTGGTAATACAGAGTTGGGGGGGAGGGGTGTCACTCCAACCCAGAACGCCCCTCCTTCCCCTCCAGGGAAAACTCAGCCAGAGGCCTTGCTTTTCTCATGCTATGGACAGCACTCTGGAAACAACAGGGGATGGTAGCAAGGGTTCCTGTGGGGCTGTGGGAGGGTCTTTGCTGCCCCCACCTCACCTGCAGTAATTGTGTTTGCCCAGGCCCAGCTGAAGGGCATCGGGCCTGAGGGCGTGGTACTCCTTCAGAAGAACAGCGGCAGAGTTCCAGGCCTGGCAGGGCTCGCCCATGGTGTCGGTGTTGGCCTTCCCTCGGTAAGAGTGACCATTCCCCTCAAAGCAGGTTTTCGATGTATCTAGGGAAGAATGTGAGGATGAAAGGTATTAGAAAGAAGAGGAAATTTGGACAGGCATTTTAGAGATCCTGTCAGGCCTCACATGATTTCAGGCCTGGCAGAAAACACTAGAAAGGGTCTCCTTCCCTCCCCGTCCCACATTTGTGCAGCCAGAGATTCATGAAACAGTACGGGTTTGTGTTTGACTGTGTATCTCACACAGGGATGAAGATGACCCCAACTCCACCTCTAGTTCCTAACTCTCGCCTGCTCTTGCACATTCCACCCATCTCTCCCTGCCCCCAAATCTCTGGTGCCCCCCCTCCCCAGTTAGAGTCAGGATCCCCATACCTATCTCGCAGTGCTCCCCTTGGAATTTCTTTGGGCAGCTGCATCGATGAATGTTGGAGAAGTACTTGTAGGACACACATGTTCCTCCATTCAGACAACCGCAGTTTGCTGGGGATGACAAAGATGGTGTGGTAAGCAAGGAGCGTAGGAGGAGGCAAGGGGGAGCCAGCCCTGCAGCCGTGTCAGGGAGGAGCTGCCCCCTGAGGCTTTTTCAAGAGGTCTGTAGAGTCAGATATTGTGCAATGGGTGGATACTCACATGCATTAGACAGTGGATGAGGTTCATGGCTGCCCTGGAAGAGATGGAGCGGAGGGGAAAGTTCAGCAAAGGTCCCATGCTCCTGGGACTCAAGGGGGAGCACAAACTGGCGCCAATCCCAAATCTCACCCTTTCCCCTCGCTCCCTCTCTTCACCTTGTTCACATCTAACTAGCCCTCACAGGGAAGATCATAGGTTTCAAGCAGGGAGAAACGGATTGACTCAAGCAAGCTTCACATACAGGGCACAAGAAGAGGGGGGCAGTCTCTGCGGCTTCTTCCTCCCTTGCCGGAAAGTGCGAACTCCCTTAGTTCTCAGAATTCCCACTGCCACACCTGTCCTGCCCCCCCCCCCCGCCCCAGATGGCGCCGTTAATGGAATCCAGAGGACTCCAGCTCCCTGTGCAGCCCCGTCCCCCCACCCCCCACCCCCAGCGCTGTTCAAGATCCTGCAAGCCCCCTCCAGCCGCCATAGGTCAAAGCGGGAAAGCCACTTACTTCGGAGTGGCCCACTACTAGGGCACAGAGGAGCCCGCACGCCATCAGGACTCTCATGGTGGCGAGGCTGGGGCTCTAGACAGCGGCTCTGCAAGGGAGGGGGAAGTCAGCTTGAGGTAGAAGCGAAGAAGCGAGAAGGTGAGCCGGCTGGGTTACCGCAGTTCAGGGCAGGAATCCCTAAGTCTCCAGCGGGGCTTCCCAGGCCCAGCCGTCCCTCCCCGCTGGGGGCGCAGGGGCCCAGACCCCACAGGGGGATGCACAGGCACCGGGAGCGGTGACTCAGGCTCGGCGACTCAGGCTCGGCCGCTGCCGGGCGGGGGCCGCCGGGGCCGCGGGGGTTGGGGGAAGGGAAGCCCGCAGGAGCAGCCCTGCGCAATTAGGGTGGCCTGCACTCACCGGTAGCTGCGGCAGGAGGGACACGGAGCCGGGACGGCGGGTCGGGTCGACACTCTGACAATCCGCGGGGCTCTGGGGCTCCAGTCGCCGCGCTGTGCTGCTAAGCCGGCTGCGGGGCTCTATATCAGGACCCGCCCCAGCCCGGCCCCGCCCCAGCCTGGGATCTCCCCAACCCTGCCCTTGCCTCAGCTTCCCTGGGGACAGCCGCAACCTGGACCCGTGGGCTTCCACAGCCTTGACTGAGAGCGAGGGGCAGCGCAGTCCCCGGCGGAGGGGACGAGCGAGGTCTGAACAGAGAAATCGAGAGGCATCTAAATTCCTCACCCCCTCCTCCCATTCACCTTGCCTGGGCCCCGCCCCAGTGCAGAGGGCCTTCGAATCGCGCTAGAGAGAGACTCTCCTCTGTCCAGCTCTGCTGTCTCTTCCCAGATCCCCTAAATCAGCTCTTCTCCAGTCTTTCCACCTTCGGCCCCCAACTGCCTAAGAGAGTGATTCGGAACCCTGGGTATAGGGACATAGTGCGCACTTCCTAGGGCCAAGTCTTTCTCAATGTGAAAATGCATTTGACGGGGGCACCTGGCTGGCTCAATCCGGGGAGCACCGGACTCATCTCTGGGTTGTGAGTTCCCAGTCCCAGATTGGGTGTAAGAGATTACTTAAAAATAAAATCTTTGAAAAGAAAGTAAGTGCACATGACATGCGCTAACTCCTGCTAACAAGGGCTGCAAATACTAGCTCCCCAAAATTCATCAACATAACCAGTGAATAGGACAACGTTGAGTTTATCACTTACTGAGGTAAGGGCCTTTGGTAGTGGCTGGCCGGGGCAGCGTGTAGGCAAGGTCCGGTTTTACTGAGAATTTGCAGTTTGGTTTAAGGGTGGTCTTTGAAAGTGAGGGCTTGGGGCACCTGGGTGGCTCAGTCGTTAACCGTCTGCCTTCAGCTCAGTTCATGATCCCAGGGTCCTGGGATTTTCCAGCCCCACATGGGACTCCCTGCTCAGCGGGAAGCCTGCTTCTCCCTCTCCCACTCCCCCTGCTTGTGTTCCCTCTCTCGCTGTCCCTCTCTCTCTCTCTCTCTCTGTCAAATAAATAAAATCTTTAAAAAAAAAAAGAAAGAAAAGAAAGTGAGGGCTTGATAAGGATTGGGTAAGGATCGTGGTATATTATAGGATTGTAGAACAAAGTCTAAGGGCACAAACTATTGATGCTTTCTATTGAAGTATTGGTGGATCTTTCAAAAAGTTCCTATAACAAACAATCCCTTTATTTGCCTGGGCCAGAGTATAGTTAGTTAATAAAGACAAAATAATAGTAGAGGCTTGTTAACATAGGCAGGAAGCTGTGGAGGGGTAGGAAGTTGTGTTTTCACATCTGAGGAGAGGAATTGGGGATCTAGACTGTATGCGCTTTTGCACTATTTAAATTTTTGAAAACATGCCTTTGTATCACCCATTCCAAAAACGCAATTACAGATTTTTTTAAAAAAAATGCATATGTATTTAGTATTCTAAGACTTCATCATAAAGCCTTGCTTCTAATAAGATAAAATAATTGTTTGTCCAACAAGGTTGGCCTCCAGGAAGACAGACCATGTGGAAAGGACTCCACCCGCTCTTCCTGCCTGAGGGCAAGCTCACACAGTCGTATAGACATGCACAAGCTCTAATTCCTCAGACAGAGGTGAAGACACACAGCAGTCAACCCCATCCCTTTCCCCTAGTGTTGGGAACCAGGGCTTGGCGGTCACTTCTTTCTACCCAGAAGGACTGTCCCCCCTAATGGGAGGAAAGGGGGCTGAGTCCCTGTAACTCACTAGGGCCCTAAAGCCAGGCCCAAGGCTTGGTCCCTTTTTCTGCCTAGGCCTACAGCATTTTGTTGCCTGGCACACCCGGACCTCAGGTCTGGATCCACTTGAGAGGGGCAAGAGGAAGGCAGGGAGAATGCCAGGAGAGGAGGGAAGAGGAAAGCTTCTTTGCCCTGCTCCTGTCAGGGGTCGCAGGATACCAGCCTCGGCCTGGGGAAAGCGCGAGTTAACCATCCAGCTTTCATGAGGAAGGTGCCCCATCCTTCTCTGTAGAGAGTTCTGTGCCCAGCTGAGTTGGCAGCAGCTCAGGGAATGGACTGAGGTGCTAGAGGTCTCAGAGCTGACTTCACTACTTCCTCTAGAAGACTGTAGCATGTTTTGTTTGGATTTAGAACCCATTAATTGCAAATAAACGTGATCAAAATGTAAACAGAGACATTGCAGCCTGAGGACTTACCCCGAAACTACTAGGTTAGGTATCAGGAAATTCCCAACACACTGTCATGATTCATAGAGCGCTCCCAGCAGCTCTCATGACTCCAGATTACTTGGCTGGAGGCTGTCATGCTGATTCTTGAGGGCAGGATGACCTCATTTCCTCCGGGACAAAGAGGCTTGGAGACCGTTATGCAGCTGACACTCTCCTTCCCCTTCCTTCCCCCTACAGTCCCTTCACCTGGTTGAACAATCCTGAAGCCTCTAACTCTGCACTTTCTTTCCACTCTGCCATCTTTCGACACGCACCCTGAAATCTCCGTGTCCATCTTTTGGTGCACAGCTGGTGTACAGCAATTCTTTGAGGACAGGGACCACATCGTAAATATCTTTGTCTCTTCCTCAGCACTGGGCACATGCTTTGTTCACGTTGGTGCTTTATGAGGAATGCATCAGTAAACAAGTGGGAACAGAGAGCTTTGGGGCATCCTGTTAGTTTCCCTACTCTCTTTTCTTCTTGCCATAAAAAAAAAAAAATAGTACCGGTATTATTTCTGTCTTGTGCTAAAAAGCACTTTGATACAATCTATTCCTCTTTGTGGCATAGCTGGAAATCATTATTCCCATTTTGCAGCTGAGGAGAATGAGGTGGGGAAAAGATACAGACTTGATGAGCTGGCAAAGCCAGCACTAGGACCCAGGTTTTCTGATCCTTGCTCTCACGCTCTATATCTCACTGCCTCCATGGAGAGGGCTACAAGAGGTGTACAAAACAGAATGCTGTGAAGATGATGGCCAGATGATATACAACGTTCCGGCTCAGGGGAGCCCTCTGGCTGGTTTTGGAGACTGCCTTCCAGAACACTCCTCGGGCTGGGGGTCCCTAGTTCCTGGGAAACCCTTAGTGTGGAATGATTTAGTTGCTTGCCTGAGTTCCAGGAACTAACTTGGTGATGTAGGCTATCTGAAATTCTTATCAAGGGTAAGAGAATAAGGAACATAATTTCAGAATTTCAATCTGTTCCTGACATCCAGAGTCAAACTACCAGCCCCGCCTTTGTTTCAGGGGGCCAAAGTTTCAAGTCGGATGTGGCAACAGAGACTAATAAAAGGGCCCCTTTCTTGAAGCTTCTCATAAAAGAGCAGGCAGAGGCCAGGTGTGCAAAGAGAACCAGGATGTCCAAACTTGGCCCTGAGACTACATCCAGGAAACTGGGCCCCTGGAAAGGCTGTTTTCTGACCAGTGGGACCTAAAGGGAAGTTCACATCAAGTCACAGGATCTATTCCTGGGTTGCTACCCCAAGAATGTTCAGCGTGGTACTATATAGAGTGTACGGCGTCTAGCCCCAGGTCGGCCACATCCAAGCTGAATAACCTTAGGCAAGACACTTAACTGTTTTGATCTCAGTTCCCTATCTGTAAAACCAGGCAACACTTGCTCTCCCTGTGCCTCACATTGCAGATTGAATGAGCTCATGCTTATGTGGGAAAGCATCCGTTCATCCCTTTAACTATGTACTCAGTATTTATTATGGGCCTATTATGTGCCAGGCACAGTTCTAAGATATTAGAGATAGAAGGATGAACTTTCAGGGCGCCTGGGTGCCTCAGTTGCTTGAGAGTCTGACTCTTGATTTCAGTTCAGGTCACGATCTCAGGGTCGTGAGATCGAGCCTGGGCCCACACTGGGCGTGGAGCCTGCTTGAGACTCTCTCTCTCCCCCTCTGTCTCTCCTCCCTCTGCTTGCACACACATGCATACATGCTCTCTCTCTCAAGAAAGAAAGAAAGAGAAAGAAAGAAAAAGAAAAAAGAAGAATGAACTTTGTAAACTACAATTCCTACCCTGAGTGCCTGCCTTGCCTTCTTGACTACGGCTGTACTGGTCCAGAAGACCAGCAATTCTCTGGAGTGGATCCCAGAATTCCAGTTAAGTGGGGATGCCGTGTCCTTAGCCAGCAGTTCCCAGCAACTGGCGAGCTGCATGTGATGTTCACCCCCCAAAGCCCTGACTCCCATTCCCTCCCCCTCTTGTCCACTGTCTGTGGCCTGAAGCTCTTCTCTTTCCCCCCCCTACACCCAGGGCAGATGGATTCCTCTGCAGTTCTGGGAAGGAGGCACTGAATGCTGGTCACATAGCTTCCATCTGATGTTCTTCCGTGTGTTTAGCTTAGCGCTCAGGGAAAAGATGCTGTTGCCACAGCAGGCACTGAAACATCATAGGAACTGCTAGACCCCCAGCAGCCTGCGGAAAGAGTGGAAAGAATAGGGCAGAGGAAGCCGCATACTTGCTTCCTTACTCATGGAAAGCAGAGAGCCCAGGGGCTGCACCCTGAGGTTATACTTTGTCGTCAATAACGCCCTGAACAGAGAGGCCGAGTTGGTCCCTGACCCCTACTCTTTCTCACCCTTCCCTGCCTTACAATTTCTGGCCCAATTCCTAGCCCCACCCAAGCCAGTTAGCTCAGATCGCTGCATGAATATTTTGAGCCCCGGCCAAAATTTTCTTTGTCGTTAGCCCAAACCCACTTACTTCCTCAGTCAGGAACTTGTGACCTGAAAGGAGTGTTGGTCATGGGTTTCCAGACCTAGATCTTGAGTTCCCTCCAGGAAACAAAGCTAGGTCCTGGTCCTAGAAGTTCTGCCTGGGTTACCATGCTGGATGGCAATGGCTGCTTACCTGGAAGCTAAAGGCAATACCCGGGAAGAAAAGTCTGACAAGGCAAACTGGAAACTGGTAGATACTGCCAAGAAGTCAATGGTGTTTAAGGAAATACATTCAGCCAGGAGCTAGTATATTCAAAAATTTGGCTCTGAAGAGAACCAACATAACATCCATAGCCCATATCATGTATAATTTCATGTGCTCA